TCTGAAAGAGAGAATATTTTTTAAGATTCACTGTGCCCCTGCAGCCTGCCTGAGGTGCTCACAAAGCAGAAGGCACACGACCCAGGCTTCTTTCCTCATTAAGGGAGCTGGGCTTTTAGGGCCATTCCCCCTTCTGGGTGGCTTGGAGTGTGGGGCGGCGGGGGAGGGGAGTTCATGGAGACTCACATAGGCCTAGACAGCACTTCCAGGTGGCATTGAGTCCAACCACCTGCCTTTGTACCAGCCGACATATCTAATCTCCCAGACAGACAGACAGACAGACAGACATCTCTATCTGGGGAGCTTCACTCCGATGCTAGGGAGAGTGGAGTCTGTTTGCGGGGTGTGTGTCTCTGGATTGCGCTGATCAGATTCCCAGGGTGTCAGGACTGGGAGTGGCGCTGGGAGAGAGCTGCTGGGCTGCTGGATTTGCACCGTGTACTCACTCAATGAACACATCCGACTGTCACTGACATGTCCCGCAGCCCGGGGCTCTCAAATAGCTCGCTGCCCAGTGAACACGCCGGCCGTGTGGGACGTGATCCCCTCCCGACCCCTGCACGCCACTTGACAGGTTTCACCTTTCAGAAGGAGAGAGGCTGGACCGAAACCGTATCACGCCCTTCCCAGAGAAAAGCCTCACTGGCCGCCAGGGCGAGCTTTCTCCGTGACCCTGGCTCTTAACCACAGGCTGTCAGGAAATCACTCCCAGCAGCCCCTCACTGGGCTCCCGGGGGCAGAGTCAGCACAAATTGATCTCTTGGCACGAAGGGGAGTCTTGAATTAAATGGTTCAAAGGCATTTTTCCCGACTTACAATTTGGCCATCTTTCCCTTTCTGCGGTAAAATCTGCAACAGTTTGGGATTTATGATCCTTTGGACAGGGACTGGGCTGAAGTCTGCTTCTGGACCATTCTGAATGGAAAGGCTTTTCGAAGAAAATTAATAATTTGCCAAAAAAATTGTAAAGGGAATGCTTATTCTATTTTAATGAGGGGGGCCTTCTCTAGGCCTTTACTATTGCGCTTTGTATCCACAAACAATTGATATGCTAATCACAAATGATGTTTACATGCTCATTAAGTCCTCAGCTACTACTGGGCCACATGATTATGATTATTACGGTCTGAGCAGGCCTCAAACACTAGGCTTTCCGCTTGGAGTCTAAACTTCTTGGGTACAAACTTTTCTGGACTAAGCAATTAGCAAAGATAATGAGTTAATTCCAGGGAAAATGACTATACTTCTTTGGCAGGGACAGAAAGGAAGGGGGCGGGGGCTCTTACACTCCAAGGATCTTGTTGACTCACACTGGTCGCTTTCAGCTGGTATAGGGTGAGGTTTGAACGTGATGACCCTACCTCCTGGTTTGCCTGGGTAGTTCCTATTATGCCTCCCACCCTGGGCGAACTGCTCACAGCAACCCCTTCCTATCCCCCGTGCTAGGAACCCCAAATTACATAGTTTGCTCTGGATTTAACGGAACTAGGGATTAACATTGTGATTTTTTTTTTCCCCCCAAGGAGTTTGAGGCTTCTCTAGACTGGCAGCTGCTGGTCATCTCTACACAAACCTGAAGGATACTCCGTAAAGCTGTCGTACCAATCCTTGCTGAATCCAGATCATTCTTCAACTGAGTCAGATCAGAACGCAGCCCACCTGCCCTTAGGGAGGGAAATCACGGGAACACTCCCCCCCGTGGGGTCTGTTAATTCCATCTCAATGTAGTTGCCCGCCAGGAGTTGAAATCCCACTATTTTTACTGTCAGCATTAATGAGGGAGGGGGGAGAGAAATGGATGGGCGCGAAGAGCACAGTACTGGAAGGAACTGTTGATTTCCTTCGGCCGACATAGCTCCGAGCTGTTTGTGTCAGAGGCAGTGTCTATTAAGCAATCGCTATGGGGAGTGCTGTACCTGCCTCAGTCCTCATAACCCACTGCCCAAGACGGCTACGGTTACTATTTCTATTCTCAAGCTGACAAAACAGGCTCAGCATGGTAGAGCCACTTGTCCCGGACGCTCAGCTGAACGGTGGAACCAGGGTAGGAATCCAGGTTTGTCTGCAGCTCGGGTCTGAACTCGTCACCACTATGATGTACGGCCTCCCGCTCGGTTATACTGTCCTGACATTTGAGTCAGACATCTGCTGGCAATCTGATACATTATAAAGCTACTGCTTCATCAAGTATGCCGCTCGGGGGGGAGCGGAGGGGAGAGGGGAATAGGGGATGCTTTGCCTGGAGTGCTTGTATGATGTATGCATATTGCTAAGGAACCAACGAATTGAATGTAAGTGTCTATCCTGGTACTAAATTATCTTCGGAGATAGACTTAAAATATCCTGGGGAAGTTCATTCGGGGGGTAGCCCTCATCTATAAACAAATACGACGTGTGTAACCAACAGAGCTGGCTGGTGGTTCACCCGCCTCCTCCCCCATCTCCCCACAGACAGCGACAGGAGCCGATCTGCTGACTGTGAACGGGGCTTGACTCATGGAACTAAACAACATTTCTGATGAGACCAAGTCCCCGGGCTGCCTCCGGCGGAAGCTGCTGGGGCCCAGCCGATGCGACGCCCATGCCTCTGTCCCTCTCAGTCCCAAGAACTCTGATTTAGAAACGTGGCACTTTCACCCTTAGGTGAGCATAGGGCGGTAAAGAGGTGGACACTGACCACCCCTGGGTGTGGCTGGCTGGGGTGACGAGGGACATGATTCGGGTTTGACAGACAGTCTGTCAGAACACAACTCAAACCCAGCCCTTCCCGAAGACTTGAACACAAATGCTTGCTGCTCACTCCCCGCCCGAAACCAGGAGTAACATCAGCCGTAAAGCCGGAGTGTGTTCTACGGGGAGGCCGCACCTGTCATAGAAGTATTGGAGGGGGTCCTTCCCGCAAGACGAACGCGAGGGGCTTACGGCTCAGACTTTCACCTCAGGGGTGGAGACTCAGAACATTAAAAGGCACGGG